GGTAAAAACAATGCTTAACAAAAAAAAGACAGTTCCACTTCTCGCTGATCACCGAGCTCCACGTCCACGTCCACCAGCAGAACACGGTCCAGTCCCGGCTGGGCCCAGTGTGGGACTGGAGACAACACCAGAGAGTCACACACAAGTGTGTGTCACAGTACACACAACTACCCGTGTGTGGATTTTATTTGAACTAAACTTGATGAAACAGCATGACGGGAGAATTTTTTAAGACAAAGGTAAAAGTTAAAAAAGAAACAGATACCTAAATACCGCTATAAATATAAGTACATCTATGTGAATATATGTATGTATATATATATATATATTTGCCATCATTTCCTGTACTACATAAATACGTATATATATATATAATTATATATGTAGTACAGGTAACGGTGTGATCCTCTGTTCCTCCCACACCAGCCATTATAAGCGGGTAAAATATGGATTAAAGGCAGATTTCCAGACTAAAATTCTCCTCCTCTGTTTAATCCCCTAATATATGACCTGGCTACAATATGTTGAGTGTCACTAATGCGTCGTGCGTTGGAGTTATTGTCAGAGCAACACCATCAAAATTAACACGCTTCATATCAGAAATACTGGAAAAAGAAAGTCGGTATTTTTTAAGTCATTTTTTATTTCCAACAGACTCAGGAAGACGAGCGTCGGTGCTGATTATAGACAAGCTGTAATAGCAGCAAACAACAACAGCAGCTGTATATTATATTATTGTTATTATTATTTTAGATTAATATCGCAATTTGTTTCGTAATAAATAATCGAACCGATAATTGAATATCGATTTAAATCCCGGTATTATTTTTTTGTATTGTTTATTTTTATTAAGTGCGAGTTGTAAAGATTATAGATTAAACATCTGATATGATTAACAAAAATAATTCATACATCTTATATCTAATAGGAGTATTTATTTTTATATTTTTATTGAGATATTTTTCCACTGATACATGTTATGTTGTTTTATATTAATATCATCCGACGTTCTGCATACTATACGACGTCTGCTGTTGTGACTGTGTGTGTGTGTGTGTGAGTGACCGCGTGTAATTTGTATTTTTGCCTTCTCATCCAGGCGCTTTGGCACCAAGTGCGCTGGCTGTCTGCAGGGAATCTTGCCAAACGACCTGGTGCGCAAAGCGCGCAGCAAGGTGTTCCATCTGAACTGCTTCACCTGCATGGTGTGTAACAAGCAGCTGTCCACGGGGGAGGAACTCTACGTGATAGACGAGAACAAGTTCGTGTGCAAAGAAGATTATTTGAGCACCGTGGCAATTAAGGAGGTCAACCTGAACTCAGGTAATCAGCGCTAAATAAGCCGTGATGTGTCTGTGTGTTTGTGTTTTTGTCTTCTTTTATTTTAATCTCTTCGTGTTCGGGTACTAACACACTTACACACACACACACCTATGGATGGACGCTCTCTCGCTCGTACGTCTGATAAACATAAAGGCCTGAAAACCCTCGGCCTTGTTGGGGAGAGCAGAGAGGCGAGTGTGGAAAAGCTCCGGACGCGCTTCCCTGAGAGATTTTGTGTGTTTTTCTCCAAGGTTTTTCCAGTGAAAACCCGTGGAGACCACGTCACAACACTCTCGTCAGATGAATGGGTTCAACATTTACCTCCACAGGACCACGGCTCTCTGTTGTTACTGTGCGCCGGGGTCCAGTGGGGATGAGAGCCGTGCGCGCTGCTCCTTCTTCCCTCTTGTTTTCCCTGCATGTCATTTCAAATCATTCCCAGCGTCACGCAGCTCTGGGTGTGTGTAAAATACCACGCACTCCAGTGACGAATAACGTGTTTATTTCGGATATAGATAAGACAGAAAAAAATGTACATGTACAAAATGTACATACGTTTTGTTTTCTTTAATACATATAAAAAAAAATCTACAGTTCTGTGTGGTGTTTAAACACAATCGAAGGTTCCAGTCGTGACCAGCGTGTTCTCCCGTGTCTCCCTCTCAGTGTCGTCGTGCACGGACAGAAGTTTATCTCCGGATCTGCAGGACCAAGTACCGGACGATATCAAGGAGACAGACAATTCAACGTCCTCCGATAAGGAGACCAACAACATCGAGAACGAGGAGCAGAACTCGGGCACCAAGAGGCGGGGGCCCCGCACCACCATCAAGGCCAAGCAGCTGGAAACGTTAAAGGCCGCGTTTGTGGCCACGCCGAAGCCGACACGGCACATCCGAGAGCAACTGGCCCAGGAGACGGGGCTGAACATGAGGGTGATACAGGTAGGAGCAGCCGGTGGTACTGATGGGTGACGAGGAGGGAGAGAGAGGGAGAGAGAGAGAGAGAAATGACGGATCATGCATCTGTGCAATTACACGTTAATTCTACAGGAAC